CAGAGCTAGATAATTTTATTACCCTTCAACAACAACCCTACCACCTTAATACCCCAACCATAAACCAAATCTCCTCCACAATAAATTCATCCAACCCCCTACCCCTACACCCTCTTCAAATTATACTGAATCATTAGCACCATCATCCACATCAACTGAATCTTCACTCAACACTAATAGAGCTTACCGCACTTTTAAAAGAAAGTTCCCCAACCATCCTTTCCCAGCAAAACCAGGAACAGCCCGTGAATACATCAACCACCCCAAGCATACTAACACAAAAGAATTTTTAGCCATCACCTTACCCTCATTCCCACAATACACCTTAAACACCCCCCACGACACTAACGAAACACGCAACTTTGTAGATGAATACGTTTTAATGCCCACTCTCTCTTGGACCTCATATTATCATTTTACTAATCCCCTTTGCTTACCCTTATCTAACACTCACATCGATATAGAACGAAATAAGGACATGCTATATCGACTCACTACACCACTAACCGCTAGACAATTTACTTACGTTGGATATAAAAAATCACTAAAAACACACACTGCACCTAGAGCTAACGAATATACACTCGAATACTATGATCACAACATCATCAGAGCTAACCAAGATCAATTCTTAGACGACGATCGCTTCGCTAATCCACAAATTACCGAGAAATTTTTCATCAAGACACCATATATATTTACACTAAACATCTTCGATCGAAAGTTTGATCACATTATTTCAGAAGCACTAACAGACACACAAGCATACGAAAGTTTTAAAGAACGCTTCCAAATATTTTCACTAACCTTTCATTTCCTTGCACCACACGAAAGAGATTTACACTGCTCACACGATATTATGTTGCGCACTAAACAAACCCACACATATAGTTATTATCGCTTCATCCAAAATCACTTTGACCTACACACACCCTCTAGACAACCACACCATCGTTTTCAATTCATTAATTCCAAATACACTTCACCATTTTTCCTAAATTTCACATATTGTATTAAAGACACTAACCTCCATGGTATTCTTCGTAATTATGATCCCATAACCCAAATGTACATCTTCTGTCCCATCACCAAGACCTTCAACGCCGAAGAATCCCGACCCTTCCTTATCCCGCACGAGTTTGTACAACCTATAGAAATCCCAATTTTAGAATTCATCCACAACACTAAATTCAATCACAAATTATATAATCTAATCCAAAACACACCTTATGAGTTTGCAGTTGGCACTGAAGAACTAACCACTATTAAGGCACTTCAATTGCTTTGGCCACTGCTTCAGACTAAAAATATCATCCGCATCTTAGCTAAACTACTAACAACTTCAGAACTAATTCACGACATCTTCCCCCACGGTTTTTTCCCCGACGACTAACAGGTAAGTATGAATTAAATGAATATTACTAACTAATTAAAATATTAAACAACTCACCATACTTTATTCATGTTTTCTTTAGATTTTTAGCCTTCATCCGACGATCACCTACAAAAACCACAAAAGACAAATAAAAATCGCAAATTTCATCAAACAGATTTCAAAAATTCTATTAATCTCTTACACTTATAGATTTATAAATTTAATACCAATGCAATAAATTCATTTCTAAAATTTTCCCCACAAGCAGTAAATCTAATTATGATGAAAATTTGTAACTTAAAATTCCCCCATAACTAGCAGTAAATTTCCAAATTCTATGCAGTAAAATAATAAAATGCAAATGCAGTACTAACCTTTTGATATTCTCATTCATTCGCACAGAAATTCTATCCACACTCGCACAGCTCGCCCACGAAGAATTGTTTAAAATAATGAATTTCAGTTTCAAGTTTTCACACTCAACAACTCTAACATATAATAACATGTTTCAAACTTTCCTTTAACCCGGTTGGAAAGGAATTATATACTAAACAAAACTAACCAATGCAGCTTACTAAACACCACAACACAAAGCATAACAGCATGACTAAGAAAAGGAAACCAACGGTACCCAAACCGGATTAACCCAGTTTAAAACTGGATAATTTATTCTTTTGAAGACTATTATAAAGTCTAAGAAAGAAATAATAAAACACAAAAAAGTCGAAAGACAAACCCATACCACGAACAATTTGCTTTTTGGAAAAAGGACATAACCAACAAGACATAAGAAAAACCACAACAAACCCAACATAAAACGTTGTCACATAACAGGACCCCTCACAAAAACCGCATGAAATCATACTCCCACTCCTGGCCTAACCCACCAGTAAGGACGTCCTGAGCATGCTCTATAGCCGGCCTAACCCACCGCGCTACATCCACGCTTTGTGACCACACCTCTATTTTTAATAAGAGCTACTCAAGTGTGAGTAACTCTTCAAAATAACCGAACTAAAACAAAAAGCTTTTGTGAAAACAACTAACTAAAATCATAATTAAAAAATATTAAACTAATAAATGTTTTATAAAATGTAAATTACATTATGCAATACATAGATCAGAATACAACACCAAGGACGAACATCTAAAGACAAAACGACCCCACTACACTCGAGAGAGAATGACCAACCACAATCGATATGCCACTCACAATCACAACTCAAAGGATTTAGAGTACGACTTGACTTCGCAGAAAAGGACTTCATTGAACTAGACCAATGACCACCTCGATGTTCAAGTATACGTACAGATCCGAGTAACCAGGCATCCCCTCCACGCACAATCTCCACGCCATTCCCAAACTAGATCAGACACAAAAGAAGTTCTCCACGCAGAACAGAAAAACCTGACATAGCCAACCATTCTGAAATCAGATTTGAGTTTGTTGCAAAGACTTAGTCGTTGTCACTAGAAGACACAACGTCTTATGTCTCTAACTCCAGCTTCCTGGAACTTCTTTAACAAAGAGGAAACGGAAGAAAATGATGTTCGCCAAAAACCAACGTCCATCATCCATCCTTCAAATTGCAGAAGAACTATTCTAAAAAACTCTGTAAAACCCGGATGGGTGGAACCTGATCTAAACTACATTTTATGATTGGATAATTTAGATATTTTACCAATGTAAAGTATTTAATATTAACCAATCATGATCCATCTAACTAACAACCCACTTATTTGTAAGTGCTGAAGTTACTTGTAATTTCAGCACCAGAGAGATTTGAATTTAACTTAGAAATTAGTTGGACTCTCCCGAGCACTTCAGCAACCGCAATAAACCAGTATACCCTAGATCTATTGAGCCTAGCAGAGACTAGTTAAACAACCTGAGACTAGATAGTATAAGAGTAAGATTAGGATCGGTATTAGACTAAGAAGTTGCACGAATCTATCCGGCCGAAAATAAGATAGCGTGACGAGCAGACGGTGTACCCTATCCGAAATTACTCTATGAGTTAACCAACTCGGTCCTAACTCACTATGGAATACTGAGTAATTTGAAAGCAACGAATCAACTACTGTTAGTGAAACCCAATAACAAACCTTGGGTATTTGAGACCGGAAAGGTGTTCATTCTTTCAATATTTGAGATCAGAAAAGTGTTCATTTTTTCAGCATTTGACGTTTTGCTGGTGAGTTCAAACTGTTGGCAGTAATTGAGGTTGAATTGTCGGACAGATTTGCCGATTACCAACAAAAATAATTTTAATTTAAAAAAAAATTTTTCAGACGTAACAATATATGATACTGTTATCCGCAAACAAAATGCGAACTACGCTTAAAATTTCAGATTTTGTATACAATTTGCAGATTTTGGTTACAGTTGCGGATTATGCAACAGCTCAATTTTACTATAACTAATATTATCATTTGTTTGTGGATTCCATAACTGTTTCGGATTCTGCAAATACTGTTGCTGATTCCGCAATTTCCGCAGCAATTTTGAGCGGTACAGTGTTTTAGCTAGTTATTAGTGGAATCTAAAACAGCTAACATAAGTATGATCAAACAAAAGTAGCAATGTTGCGGATTCCACCACAAATCTGATTTGGCCTGTTGCGGAATGCGCTTACAATTCATAAAATGAACGATTTGGCCTCGTAATGACACGATATATTAAGTACAAAATCGTAGATTTCCATAAAGCAAAGTTACACATGGACCAAATACCTTGCTTCAGTTCAATTTGGAATGATTTCTAGCATGAATTAAATCTCAACTTACGCGTAATAAATCCCTCATTCTTTACAGAATGAGGATTGAGGATATCGATTTTATGGAAACTCCTCACAGGTGAAATATTTGTTTTTAACTTGATCTCAGGATAACAGAATTATTTCCGTAAAATTATGCAAGTTGAACAGTCGGAAGAAAATGTGTAAGTCAGATATAAGCAGTCTTCATTCATTTTGACAATTCTTAAGTGTTGTCTTAACTTTGTCGAAGCAGATCTCATTAACTGTCCCCGTATCGCACCTGTTGACAAAGTTCCACCCTATAAAGGACTAACCCAACGGTTTAGAATATAATGATGTTGTCAGGGGCGGATCTAGGATTTTCCCGAGAAAATTTTGACAACCTTTTTTTTTTAGGTCGACCAAATTGATTTTTGGAGCTCGCCTAATGCACTAAAAAGACGCTGTTTTGGCCAAATTTTCTGCGCCGCACGCAAGTTTTTGGAAAAAAAACAGGTCAAAAAGGCCGTTTTTGGGCACTTTGTGAAAAAATTTTGACAAATAAATCGCGTTTTTTAGCGCGCGCTCCCCCTCAGAGTTAGTAAAAATTGGCGCCAAAGACGCCTTTAGAAAATTTGTTAGGGTCGGTTGGCCAGAAATGGTTTTCTTAAAAAGTGCGAAAGGTGGGACCCTTTGGGTCGGCAGGATGTCGGGAATGTCGGCAGGATGTCGGTTGGACGGACGCCTCTTTCCTGAGGGAAAAAGGTGTCCGCCCCACCCGCCTCCCCCCTAAATCCGCCCCTGTTGTACATATTAACAAAAGCAGCTGTTTTTCATTAGTGGTAATCGAGATCTCGGCCGGGTTGCAAGACAGGTTGTAAATTTAGGACATCAACTGAATAAAAAAGAACTGTTCATCCGCCTGTCAGCAGCTCTCCTGCCATCAATTCTGACTCCGTGCGGGCTCTTGGCCGCCACTTACCCCAAGCGTATCTTCAGTGTCGGAGTAGACGAACACTTTTTCACCATCAACTTAGAGCCGGAAGCAGTCGGAAATTACATAGGGCTCTGTAGTGTGCTCATCGCTGGCTTGATTGCCCCGGGACTCATCATTTTTGGGTGCTATGTGAAAGTTGTCGCGAATCAACACAAGAGGAAACTCAATAGCAAAGACTCGATGATACGGGACCGGTTAGTCATTTTGGTCGCCAATTTAGGATAGAAAAGTGTAGAGGTACTCAGGGGCGGATCTAGGATTTTCTCGAGGGGGGGGGGGCGGATTTTCAAAAAATTTTCCAAAATTTTGACGACCTTTTTTTTAGGTCGACGAAATTGATTTTTCGAGCTCTCCCAAAGCACTGTTTGACCCCTATTTTGGCGAAACTTTCTGCGCCGCAGGCAAATTTTTGAAAAAACAGTCAAAAAAGCCGTTTTTGGGCACTTTTTGAAAAATTTTGACAAAAAAATCGCGTTTTTTTGGCGCGCGCTCCCCCTCAAAGTTAGTATATATTGGCGCCGAAGGCGCCTTTAAAAAATTTTAGGGTGGGTCTGCCAAAAATGGATTTCTGAAAAAGTATCAAAGGGGGGACCCTTTGGGTCGGCAGGGGGTCGAATCCCTGAGGGGGGGGGGGCGTCCACCCCCCCTAAATCCGCTTCTGGAGGTACTTAGGGTAATGGCAAAGCATTGGCATTAAGATTGATATATGTTTTAAGTGTAGTCACAACAAATATTTTCCATATATTACAGATAAAGGAAATCTTCGTTTTGTAAGAGGTTTGAAATATCTGGGTGACTATTTTGTACGCGCTGCTCTCGTCATTCCGTGGTTCGTTTTTGACGCAGCATCTTTTTAGAGCATAAGAATTCTGTGAATTAATGATATGATACTTTTGCCTTTTTTCGTTATTCAAAAGGCTAGCCGTTTTTGACAGAACTCAATGTCAAAACATACAATGTTTGTTCAGTTTGTTGGTTGTAGTTACACAAAAGAGTTTCAGGTCGCAGAAGGTCACGATGGTGTGTGGCTGTTCCGCCATGATCTTCACTCTCTACTCGGTCCCCTCTGGCATGGCTGCACTACTCCAGATGTTCCAGCCAGCCTCAGGTAGATCATTTTTAAATAAGAACAAAACTACAGTAGAAGTAAAAACACAGAAACATTGTAAAAACAGAACATTACAGTAAGTACAGGAACATTAGTACAAAAATAACCCTACAAAATGAATGAAATAACCAAAAAACTGAATTTAGTCTGAACCAAGCGTGTAACAGAGGTTCTTCGAATAAAACTGAACAGCTCGTATGTTGGTCCTCTCGTGGATAAATCATATAAACTTAGTAGCAAGAGTAGCAAGAAGACCGGAATGCTCATGTCACATAAATCGTTGCAATGGAAACTTTTGAAAAGTTTTATTTATCTTCTACTTTTTATGGTAAAAATTTGGGTAGTTATCTATGACAACGAGAGCAAGTTGAAATGAACGAACATATACAAACTGGTAAAGCTAAACTAAACAAAGGGCAAATGAGACTCACTCTTTATTTTGACTCACCACATAATTTATCTTAAAAATATTCAGACCATTTTTGACCACTAAAATACCCAATTTAAAATTTTAATGAACAGGAAGGCTTTATTTTGGCTTTTCAATGGACTCTTTACGGGTCATAGCTCACGTATCATAGACCATACGACGCCATAAACAAGGTATGACCCAAAAAAATTGTCGTGGCGCTTGACAAAAATTACGCTCTATAAAGAAAGTTCCTCACCCAGGAGACATTTTGTTGAGTTTTGGCGGAACGCATTAAAATGGTCAATAATATCTGCGTCTCAATTGGTCTTTCGTAGTGATATTTAACCAGAAGCATAGTACAATGTTCATTGGAAGAGAAATGCATGGTTGCAATATTTCTCTTTTCTGATGAGGTTTTTCAGTAGCGCCCGTGTTGAACCGCTGATTCATTGTTAAAAATTTCAGCCATACATCAGCAATGATTCCGCTATGATCCAGCGCTAAAAACTACAATTTTAATAAGCGCTGGATCCAGTGGTATAACATCGCTGAATCAACGCCAATTCAATACAGGTTTTAAAGATGTTTGCAAAGCTGAATAGTAGTTAAAATGGCGCTGATCAAAATATCTCACAAGACCTTTTTTGACCTTATTAAATTTAGGAAGCATTTTGAAGCATTTTGCGGTTAAATTTTGCTCATTTTGGTTTGCAGTGCAAAAAATTGCGCCAATTAAAACGTTAACTTTCGAACTTTGATTGCCAGTTTTGGTAAAATATATTCGAAGTAGTCGGCAGTAAGTTGCGGTAAAATTTGGCTGAAAAATTGAATTAAAGTTTGTACTTCATTGTGGATAAAATTTTTTGCAAATTTCACCAGATAATATTTTCCCATCAACCAAACTTCCTCCCGTCAGTTAAATGAAGGTTAAGCGAAGAAAGTCACGGAATTCTTGCGCTCGGGGTGTTTTTTTTCTCCAGACAAATTTCAACTTTTCAACAGCATTTTTTGACGGAGTTTTTATATCATTCTGAAGGTACAGTTGTCCTGAGCTCATGTTTAACAAATTTTTGTTTCACCTGTGATCATTTTTGTATGTTATGTGGGTTTAAAGATTGCCTATTTGGCCAATTGGGGATAATTAACGCGCAATGTAAATCGTGCTGTTAACGACGCGTTAGCGGAGATTTAATCCGTATTAGAAATTATTCCAAATTAGATAATGCATGCTCTTTGTTCTACTTTTTACTTTTAACACTTATATTTAATAGTATATACCAAATATCTTGTTGTATTAACTAGCTTGTGGGATGATGCTTTTCAAAAAAAAATCATCATAATTATTTTTTGATTTTTTTTTTTATATTTCATCAATCATTTTATTTTAAATTACTTTAAAGATATTAAAACGCAGTCCAAATATTCAAGATTTTGCCCTGATAACAGCGGTTTTTTTAAATATCAAATGAAAAAAAGATATCGATCGTTTTTTTTTCAAAAAAATTTCCTTAATATTTTTTGCTAATGGTCGCATAAAAATAAAAGCTGGAAGTAATAAAACAAAAATAAACCAATAAATAAAAAATATTCATGTTGAGATCTTTAATTGTAGTAAAGTGATTGTTGATTCAGGCGTAATTTATAAAAAAAAATAAAATTTCATTAAAAGGGGTCACATCGTAATTGATGCCGTTATTTTTTTGAGCTCTTTTCTATTCTACAGGCAAGTAATTAACTGAAGTAGCTACCAAATGACTTTACCCAAACTGTGTTCACTGAGGTTTTCCAGAGAACGATTTTTTTCCAGTGAGAGAAAAATTATGTTGTGTGATATTTGTATGACTGAAATAAACACAAAAACAAAACTGAGAAAAATTATTTTAAATAACTAATTTTATCATTTTGTTCATCAGGTTGTTTTATCATGAGGTTGAAAATTCAGTTTTGAAAATTTTGCTTTTTGTAATTTCAAGCGAGTATAGCAAGAAAAAATTTAGGTTGACCTCAGCCAATTCTAATTTTATCGTTACTTGACTCGGAAGAGAGGCCTTTTTATTTGCGATTCATGATAAATTTTCAAAAGTTTTTCTCATTTTTTTTAGAAAAACCAATTTAAAATTTCTAAATTTTTGAGTTTTAGTCTAATTTTGAGCAATTCTAGCGACGAGTAGCTCTTTAAAGGGAGAATTTTGGGTATGGGGGGAGGACGTGTACTCACCTTTCAAAACTATTATACACCAAGGAAAAGGGCAACAAACCCCCACTTACCCGCTAAATCAGTTACTGCCTCAAATTTTGTTCTCCGTTTTTTCTTCTTTCTCTAATTTTCGAAGACGATTGTTATTAACTATGCATTATTCAAAATTTCTACGCGTTATTTTTGTTGCCGCGTCACACCACGAACACAAATGACAAAAACAACCCATATTTGAAAAAACACTCACACAAAAATTTAAAACAGTACTATTAATCAAAAAACTAATCCTTCAATATCAACCCGCTATCCTTGTTGTTATTTTTAATATATGTATCTATAAATATCTACGTTTGCTTTGTTTTTTTTTCAGTTTGGTTGTCTCCTATTAACGGAAACGGTAATTTAATAAGCATGTGTAGAATCCACCATATTATCTTCACTTCCAAAATTGTGCAGCATTTCAATCCGATATTGCAATCGCCCAGAGTTTTGCAAATCGCTTTCCAAATATTAGTTTTTTGATGATTATCTTCACTAATCATCAAATTTGATCATTGTTCCGCAATTTGAAATGAAAAGCGAGGTACTTTTGTCTTCGGATGTGTTTTAGAATTTTTTCTTTCTAACAATTTCGAAACTGAATGTTGCTTTGTGCATTTGCAGCATTACTGCATTGAATTGAGATTGTTTCCACTAAAATTGAGAAGGAATTTTGTCTCTGGAGCCTTTTATTTTTTTCCCACGCAAAATCAGGTTCCAAAATTATTAATCGGAATAAGCCGAGATTTAAATCCCTTTTCCTCAGGCATTTTACTCCTCAGCAACCAAAAGCTCCCTGCATTTTTGACTCTTTTTTTTCAAAAATTTGATTGCGCAGAAATTTTGGTCAAAATATGGTCTTCATGGTGTTCTGGAAGCGCTCCGAAAATCTATTTGGACGACTAAAAAACAGTTCAACAAAATTTTCAAAACTTTCTCGTCGAGAAAATCCTAGATCCGCCCCCTGATTCTGTGCTACTTGCATATTTAAACCAGTTATCCTTGTTTTGACTTTAGATGTACTTTAAAGCATTTTCTGGACAATCGAGATTTTAGTTCTAGACATGTAAGTGATCCGATGACTGTAAATGATTTTATGTCCAAATTTTCTGCCCTTTAAAACCTGCTGCGACCATGCAATTAGATTGCGGTCTGACATGGGGCTTGAACTTCAATGAATTTGTGCACGGATTGTTTTTTTCTCCAGACAAATTTATTCCACCTGAGATCATTTTTTTGCAAATTCATGGGGGTTTAAAAGTTGGCGGTTTGGCCAATTTAGGATAATGCGCGCTATTTTTTTGTGCCATTAATGTGTAAGCGAAGGTTTAATCCGTCTTAGAAACTGTTGCAAAGTGAATTGAGGCATGCAATTTGATATAATTAATTTTTAAGACGGATTAAACCTTCGCTTACACATTAATGGCACAAAAAAATAGCGCGGCAAAAAAAATTGAGGCATGCAATTTGATATAATTAATTTTTAATTATGCTAAATGTTGAACTTCGCTTTATATAGAGTGTGGAAAAACTTTACTTTCCATTTTTTTTTTACATTTTACTTACATTTTCGGGAAAAAAATTGAAAGAAAAATTCAAATTTTTTTGAACGTTTCGTCAATTTTTTCTAAAGCAAACACCACAATATAGAATTTAAAGAGCACTCGGAACAATCGGGTTTCGCCCTGATACAAGCAGTCTTGTTAGTATTATCCAATCATTTATTATTATCCAGCCGAAATAAAATAAGAAGAAAATTTTGAACAAGAAAAATGATAACAACTTAGAATTGGTTGAATCATTTCAAAAACAAGCTAGCTTTGGAAATCAATTGAAATCAGTCAAAAGTTGTCCACGCTGAAAGTTGGTCCAACAAACGGAAATGTTTTACCCGACACACAATGACAAACTTATTGATTCTTTTAAGGAATTCGAATCATAAATCTTCAGTCTAATATGTCACTAGCCGAACCGGGATTTTGTCTGTTAAGTTTAAATCAGCTTGGAGAAGACACTCACGTGGCCAAAAATTAAAAACAGAATTAGACTCATTTTTCAAAAAATAGCAAAATGATGAGCACATGAAAATAATTGCCTGGTTCATGCCATGTGAGTTATGACTGGGGCGTAACTCATAGAGTAATTTCGGATAGGGTACACCGTCTGCTCGTCACGCTATCTTATTTTCGGCCGGATAGATTCGTGCAACTTCTTAGTCTAATACCGATCCTAATCTTACTCTTATACTATCTAGTCTCAGGTTGTTTAACTAGTCTCTGCTAGGCTCAATAGATCTAGGGTATACTGGTTTATTGCGGCTGCTGAAGTGCTCGGGAGAGTCCAACTAATTTC